GAGTGCCTAGGGCAACTCAGCGAGTTCATCCGTGTCCACCCGTACCCGTCTAGTCCCGCTTAACACGTCGAGTCTTTCCCTTGCTCGACGTGTGACACCTGGCTTGAATCGCGGGGCCACCCCGACTCAACTCGTTGAGTCTTTCCCTTGCTCGATGTGAGACCTTCGGTAGTTGCCCCCGTATCAGATACGTTGACAATAACTAAAGGGTCGGTTGTAGTGGTTATGGTGGTAGCTAGTGTAATGACCAAAGGTGGAAGAGGAATATTTGAAGCAGTTGGTGTTGTGGAAATAGGATGAGAAGCAACCAGTGGTGGAAGTGGTGCAATCACAATAGGCATAGTTGTATAAGGTAGTGAAGGAGGAGGAGTTGGAACAGTTTCGGTTACATGTACCTCAGGAGATGGGGACCGAGGATGTGAATTTCCTCTTGGTGAGCTTTCAAGATGAACGGTTTCGGCTTCAGGGGACTTCGGTTGATCTTGATCTGACGGAACATAATCCGAATTAGTGGAAGAGGCAGCCTTCGGCTTCTTGTCTATCTTCTTAATCTTTCGCTTTTTATGGGCAGGAGAAGATTCTTTTTCTTGTTAGCGCTTTTTAGGCATGGACACTTGGGCTAATGGGCCTTCGGCTTCCTTCTTCTTTTGTTCTGGTTTCTTGCCCCTCTTTGTCGGTTTGTCAACAACCTCCAATGTACTCTGCGTTTCTGGAGTAAGTTGTCGTGGCCCTGATGGTGTTAGTTTTCTATAATCAGCCATAACATTGCTTTTGCTAGAAACACATCGATACATTGTTTATGGAATTGACCCGATGAACATGAACTTCGTGGGGTCAGAGACGATGATTTTGGTGGTGTGGAAATTGGCGATTGAAGACTGCATCACATCCGCCGTGATGGGAATCTAAAAATGCTCAATTGCTCTGCAAGTCACCAGTTTCCAGAAGCGTCCACGCGAGATTTCAGAGTGTTTGGACGATGAGCTGAGGCACTGCACCATTTGGGACCATATAAGGGAGCCATAGTCTAGATTGATTCCGTGATAGAGACCATAAAGAAATGGTCATGAAGCCTTTGTTGGCACCATCCGACCCAGCAACTCGTTCGACTAATCCCTTGAAGATGAGGGTGAAATGACCATTCCACTGAGGTGGAAAGCATGATTTCTTGAACTTTGTCATCATTGTAAGGACATCAGTGTACCCCATGTCATAAAACATAGTGAATAACTGGGTAGTGGTGATGAAATCAGGAGAGATGATAGAGGCATCTGAAGCAAGCCCTAGTAGAGAATAGAAACAAGCTTTTGAGAAAGAGGTTTTGTGATTGAAGATATCAAAGAAGATCCGTTCCTTGCATTTATCGTAAGACTTAGATGAATAGACCTGCGAGAGTAAGGACATGGGAATAGATTCAACCTACGTGAGAGCAATCACCAGTGGGGAATACTTGAGACACTCGACCACGTGAAGCATGTACGGATCATACACGAAGGGATTCGGTTCGATAATAAGATTCTGATTTGGTTTGATGATCAGAAGAGATGAGGTAGCACATTGTTCTTGGACGGATGATGATTCTGCCATTGTTGGAGAAAGGAAGAAGATGAACAGTTAGAAATCACCTGCTGTATAAGTGAGAGAGTTTGGAGGTGGTAAGGAGGTACAGGAGGTACAGGAGGTGTGGGAGGCCCTTTTATACCGTTTCCAGGAGAGAGAAAGAATTTGTTGTGATAACGATACGATCCTCTGAAACGGCGCCTGAAAAAGCGCGATTTGACAACTTGGTTTCCTTAGATATATGTCACCAGGTGTGGGTTTAGGAACCGTTTCAAATTCACGCACCCGTTGCAATTCTTATCCAATGATTCGGCTTGAAATCTTATCTAGATACCGCCTTATCATTTCCAAAAATGATTCAAATTCTGTTACCAGTGGACAATGATCCTTTCGCTTCAAATAGCTGTCGAGGTTCGCTCCTTAATTTTGTGTACCTGCAGAAAGTAACAACCGGACCATCAATTCTGCAAATTTGCCCATCTGTATCATGAACAAGAATTGAGAAAATCAAAAAGATGTCCGTGCAAGAGTGTTCCAATAGAAAAGAAACAAATCAAATTATTTGTGGGATTTAAGTAATGTGTAGATAGACACGAAACTATGGATCCTGGGCACGAATTGCATCCTTCAAGGTCAAGAGAGACCTAGAAGTGTCTGTGTGGTTTTCTGTTGAATTACGATCAATTGTTTATTAAGAAACATTGAAAGACTTCTTTTCAAATTTTGGCTACAAGGGGCGGCTTAGCTTCAATCGAACTTCGACACTTGACATAAGACCAAAAGTTGGTCGAAGTACCTGTGAGACCGATGTGGCCTATTAAACAAGTAGGTTTGAATTATTTTCAGTGACTTGGTGATTTTTGAAGAAATATCAAAAACAAAACAAGCTGAATCTTTTGGGAAGAAAAGTCTTGGTATTTAGACAATTTCATAAAGATCTCTCAAAAATGAAAAATGAGATTTCTTGGTACATTCCATTAAGGGAATTCGTTAAAACTAGGGTGAAAAACTAGAACATTTTATTGTTCGCCGTCAATGCATTATGGGTGTTGGATTTTGGGTCTCACTTAGCACGTGGTAAATGAAACTAAGATCATTAATAGAGATCTTGTGTAACCATAAACCTCAGTGGTAAAGTTTGAGAGTCTCAAGGGTTACGATGATGAACCGAAATGAGATGAAGAATAGTGAATAGATGGCTAAAGAACCGAAAGTACCTCTACTATACGAAAATGACCAAGCAATTAACTATTTACTCAATATGAGAAGTGTAAGGTAGCTCATGACTCAAGTGAATTTGACAGCCTTATTGGGAAGAAACGATTTGTGTATATCGAATCATTAAGACTTCACTTGCAATCTGTGAGGCTTTGGTCAACATGTAACTGCATGCTTCTAAGGACACTTAGTTAAAAGAGAGAGTGTGAAATACCTGCCCCAACTCCATCATGAAAGAACATCTGTGATACTTCACAATAATATTTTTGGATGTTTAATGTGTCTGAAAAACAATAAAAACAGAAAAGAAAACTATTTTTGGAATTTTAATTTTTCTGAAAAATAATAAAAACAGAAAAGAAAAATGTTTTCGGAATTTAATTTTTTCTCAAAAATAATAAAAACAGAAAAGAGAAATGTTTTCGGAATTTAAAGGGAAACAAAAAGTATAGGAAGAGAAAGACATATAAAGTGTACAAATGATATATAAGAACCAAAGCACAAGATAGAACAGTTGCTTGCTTTAAAAAATTAAATGAGGTGAAATAGACCGAGCTTTTGGTTCATTTCAGTTCTTGAAAAATCAAGAGCCGAAATAGACCGAGCATTCGGTTTATTTCGGTTGTAAAGAAAATTTAAGAGAGAAAAAGCGAAAGTGTGCCCGAATCCCTCAAATCCCTCAAATCTGGCAAAAGCCTGAATCCCTCAAATTTAAGAGAGAAAAAGCGTTCGGTTTATTTCGGTTGAAATAGACCGAGCCTTTGGTTCAGTTCAAACACACCCGAAAGTGTGCCTGAATCCCTCAAATTAAAGCTCTGATACGAACTTGAAACATCCCAAAAATACGGTCCAAAAATTTCGTTATAAAAATTAATATAAAACCACAAATCTACCATAGTCATAAAGAAAATCATGTATCATATATCTCAAAACATCATATCAAATACTGTGCCAAATCATGTGATATCAGAGTCTAAGACATCCCAGGCCAAAAATGCGGTGTGTGCCATGCGATCATCCCGAGCATTCCCCTTGCTAGTGGAAGTACCTAAAACTAAAACTGAAAATTGTAAGCACGAAGCTTAATGAGTTCCCCAAATTACCACATACCATACAAATATCATGAAACTAGAAGATACGAGCCCCGCCCACTCTCATGGAGATTCAGCCCCCCCCCCCCCCCCACACACACACACACACACACTCCAATGTCTAGGAGATTCAGGCCCCGCCCACACTCCGCTACTAACATGCATATAAGTATCACACAAACAACAAGTATATCTATCAAACAATCACATAACTATACTCAACTAACATTATGAGATCCGAGCCTCGCCTACACTAGACTGCTACGAGATTTGGGTCACGCCCACACTCAACTACTAACATATCACATAAACAGGCCAGCCTTGGTGCCTTCGACCTGTTCCTACTGAAAGGAAACTCACCTCTCAAACTGAATGTTGAACTCGTGCGCGAGGAATCTCTGTTGGCTGCTCCCACGACTCCTTGGCTACCACTATATAATAATACTTAGTCAAAATCTGGCAATCTTACTCAGGGTCAAACTGAATGACTCAACTCGCCGAGCCACCCAAAGACTCGTCGAGTTCCCAGGCTACCTATCCTCGCGATTGGACGGACTAACTCGTCGATTCGTCCTCAGACTCGCCGAGTCCTAGCATAAATAGAAAGGGGACAAGATGATCAAACTCGTTGAGTTCCTTGATAACTCGTCGAATTTCATGAACAATATCAGGGATCATCGATCGAACTCGACGAGTCCCCATATGAACTCATCAAGTCCCTTGTAGATCTAACCTAAACAACTGATTTCAATAATCCAGAGCTCCAAATTACAGATCCAAATCGTTTCCATGGTCCATTTCTATAAAGTTGGAGACTTGATGGCTTTACACACCTCAAATGGACCCAAACTCAAGTTATAGCAACCTACTTCCATGAACATGACCATAACTTGGACAACAACGGGTTCAAGACTTCTTTTATGATTCTAGAGGCCAAGTATCACAGGGAAAAGGGATTGGCTTAGCATACAACCCATGGAGGATAACTTATCCTTCTCAAAGGGGTCAAAAGACCCATAAATCAGAACTAGAAGAGATCTAAGTCATAGAGTTCCAAGCTAGGAGCTTTTTACCTCAAGAGGTTGCCAAAGATGAAGGAAACCTCGGATCTTGATCTTCTCTACAAGCTTGATGGCTCCAAGCTCTTCCAACTTCTTTTTATATCACAAAAACACACTCAAAAGTTCAAAAATCTCTCGAAAATGAAGCTCACAACGAATTAGGGTTCTGAAGGACAGGCAGGCTGGTAAGGGAGGCCCAAAAAGGGGTTAAGTGGCTTAAATAGGGTGCAAAAACCCCGAAAATAGGGTTTCCTCCTGGTGGCCCTACTCGTCGAGTCGGGCTCTCGACTCGCCGGGTAGATCATTTAATCCCCATGTCCAATCTGGCATCCTCGACGAGTTAGGGCTACCAACTCATCGAGTAGCTCTTACAAAATAAATATTAAAATGAATTGATGCGTACCAGGAACGAGTATTACAATGATGCTCTCCAACCAAGCTTTTAACTTGAAATGATCTTTCATTGTACACCCATACGACATATAATCTAAAAAGGAAAACATTCATCTCTGTCCTCTTTCCACTTCTTGCAACTAATCTTGTTCTATAACATTTTTCAGAGTATATATGATATCCATTTGACACCCATAATTTTGAATACAAAACTAAAGTTATGCAGGAGACTCAACCATATCACATACCTTAGGTTCTATCTTATCATATGGTGTATTTGGATCATGAATTTTGTTCTTATTTTTCACCACCTCTTCTTCAACTTCATTACTTTGCCATTCATTAGCATGATATACTTGTGCTCTGATTTCATCAGCCATGCTTGAATTTCTTAAGTTTTCATCACCAAGTAGAACATTAAGAAAGACGTCCCTACATTTATCAAGTGAAGTCACAAACTCATGCTTTGGTTAATGATCCATATAAATGCCATGAAGCTCAAGATCCATCTCATTTAGTGCAGAGAAGGGCTCGTATATACCAGCAAAATGTGTCTTTGTAAACATCATCTGATGAAGCCGTTACAGCTACTTGCAAAATCAAACATATTTTACAAACAAACTTGAAGAATTATAAGTAGATAACTACTTTAATCATGGATTTGATAGACTTACTAGTTGAACAACTCAACGCAACAATCATCCAAATTTCTTTATGCTTGAACAACGTTACTAACAGTGTACACCTAATTTTCTTTAAATACCAGAATTTCCTAATGAATCCCTCATAATATCCCGAGATTTTCTTGATAGAAGGTAGGATTCACTACAAGATAATTGATGTTGGAGTGACAGGGTGTCAAGCTCTATCTAACAGCTTCCCATTCGTTTAGTTAACCTAGTCAACAAAAAGGCCATGTAGCCTTCTCATTAACGTGGCTATAGTTGAGGGGTAACCGGTAAACACCCTTGCAACTAGTTATTTGGGAAAAATGCGAAAAGTGAGACAAGCATGTGGTATAAACGAACCTAAATCCCATCAATAGATAAAGTCGATAATTTCATGAAAACTTAAGGCTTTTTATGACAATATCCCATATTTATATAGGAGAGAGAGAGAGAGAGAGAGAGAGAGAGAGAGAGAGAGAGAGGAATAAACTATTATAGCCGAGCTCGGTACAAGCCGCACACTAATGTCGGTGTGTGCCCCATCCAAGGTGAAAAGCCACGCCCACTCCCTTAAGCATCGATAGTTTTCTGATATGTAGTTTAGTTAGTTCACGAGATTGAATCTGTTAAAGACTCCTAACATTTAGATTCAAAAATCTCATATTGTAGGACAGATACCGAAAATTTGTTCTTTCATATCACCTTAATATATATTCGTATTATTTGGCCAAATAAAGTCTCCTATATATCCTTGGCAGATTTACAATCACATATTGATTGGTTTTTGGTAAACCTCATTAAGATAATCCATTATGAGCATGTTCTTGGCCTTGTTGTCCATTTAAACAAGTTTTCATCAGTTTCACTCCACTACTTTATGCTTTTAAATCGACCCATGTTATCCACGCATAACAAAATCAATGAAACACGCAAACACGATATGCTGATAACCTCAAGATCATCAGGAAAATCCACACCATTTTGAAGCAAAACAAGCGTCAGTGTTTAACAGATTACATCCATACAGATATAAGCAATAGAAATATTGGATTAAGGTCTTACAATCTCAATAAACCTCACTGTTATGCTATATACTCTGCATAGAACCGAAGCAAACTGATACACCATTCAAAGGCTTAAGCATGCTTATCCATTCGCCAACAAATACATCTGGAACCAAAAAAACAAATAGATTAATAGATGAATATATGTTCAACCACCATCTACCAGACTAAAAACAACAAATAACAAGCCGAAATTTTTACAGTTGATTAGAAAGATCCATCCATAATGACAGGAAGATCATTAAAGCTCCAAAGATCCACTGCATTTCCATCATCTTGAGCTGCATCTCCATTCAGGAAAGCATCCCAGTTCCCTTCAAAACACGGCATCTGAAAAAGTGACTCATCAACCTTTTCAGGTTTTTTAGCAGGATTCACATCATCAACCTCTGAGAAAACAGATGTAATATCAGGAGTCATTACACAATGCTCCCCCCAACCAAAGTCAGAACAACCAAAAGAGTTGCTCCCCTGATCAGAATTGAAGTGAAAGACAGCAGCTGCACTCTCAGATGGAGTAGATGGTTTGGGTTTAATCCCCATAGTAGTAGCAGCAGCAATAGGGTTAACTTGTGGTTTCTCTTCTAATGGGAAGTTCACCTTTGCCTTCTTCCCTCGGATCCTTCTTGCCTCTTCATCATAAGCCCTAGCAGCTTCTTCAGCAGTATTAAAAGTTCCAAGCCACACACGAACGCCTTTCCTCGGGTCACGGATCTCTGCCGCCCATTTGCCCCATGGGCGTTGACGGATCCCTCTGTACTGGTTTTTCCTTTTCCTTGAACTTGATTTCTCCGGTTCATTATCGGACTTCACAGGTTTTGAGCCTGAATCGGAATGAAAAAAAAAAAAAAAGTAAACTTTTTTTGTTTATAAAAGACATGAAAAGGAAAGTAATGGTATATGATGTTCAAGGATGCATGGAAAAGCTTTAGTGATCATCATCTAACGATTTTAACATTAATTAAATCAACGCCAAATCTACTGAATTAAAAACATTATCTTTCGATTTTGAGCTACAGGGAAATCAAATTTTTTTATGAAACAGATTAAAGTAGTATAGTTATAAATCATTTGCTAAGAGATAGAGAAGTATTACCAGAGCCTTTGGAGACAGACAAATTTGAAGGGCTAACAAAATGCTCAACAACTTCGGCATCGATTTCGTCCTTAAATCCTTGAAAAGCAGCCTCAAATTCATCTTCAACATCAAAGATCTCAGATCGTATGGGCTTCGAGTAGCATTTGCTAGGGTTCTTTACAAACTCAGTCTTCCGCAAAAGGTCGGTAGTCAGCCGGCGAGACCGGTTCGCCGTAGGTGCTATGAAATCGGATATGATCGCACCGCCACACATTTTTACTAATGAGTTCCACCTCGAGAAGCAATGGGTTAATCTGGGTATATAAAAATTTGGGGAAAATATTGGTTCTTGTTCTAGATTCTTGATTGTTGAAGAGTTTAACGGAGAAATATGTATTTTTTTTATATACCTCAAGATAGGCAGACGCCATAGTTAGTTTTACTTTATTACCCTTGTAGTGGACGTATAATTTCGTAATACTCGGTGTTTGTCCGTACATCATCAGCCGTCATATGATTTTTCTTTTTGGCGTATACGCTTTCGTTTTGTTTCTTTTCTTGTGTTCATTTTTGGGTTCTCTTTTCCAACGATAGTCATATGATTATTATCTATTTATCTTCAAATCTTCAAATTATTATAAAGATATATACGGTTTCTTCTGTATAAAAAAAATTAGTTACGTTAAATGTGATCACACATAACATATTTTTTAGTGTATCTTGTTTGGAGTTATGCATTGACAAGTTAGGGGAAGTTATATCTTGAATGTATTTTATTTCACACTTTAATTTAGTGTTTTAGAGGTAATCATGAAAAACAAGATTGAATAAATTAATAGGAATACAACTTATTAACGTAATTAACTTTTCAGTTTATTCATATCTACATAATTATCTTTTTTTTTTTTTTTTGTACACATCTAGGTAACAAACTTATTGTAAATGTTCACATATGACCATTATGATCTGCTGTAGCAGGTTACATCCGGCTACAACAGATCATAATAGTCATATCTGAACACTTTCAACAAGTTCGTTACCTAGTGTACAAAAATAAGAGTAAATTACATGGATGGTCCCTGTGGTTTGGGGGAATTTGTGTGTTTGGTCCCTAACTTATTTTTCTAACTCGGATGGTTTCTATTGTTTATTTTTGTTGCACACTTGACATTATCTTACCTAAAAAAAAAAATACTATTGTGCGCTTATTAATTTATTTATTTTTAATATTTTTTATTTATGTAATTTTTTTTATATATTCGTGTGGCTTTCGATAAGGAATCATTCATTCAAACGAATCACAAGAACATAAAATATCATCGGTTTGAACTCCAATCGAGTAAAAAACTTTTGCATCTTCATGAGAATCAACTTAAATCTTCTTATCATGAACTTCAAGAACATCACATTGAACTCCATAGTCTTGAAATTCAGCATACTTAAGAGCATAAAGATCATTTGGGTTTTCAATAAGAGAAATATATTTCTTATCAAACAAATCTCTTTCTTTTCCTTCCTTTTGATTTCCACTCCAAGATAACATATTCATGGAAATTTTAACCAAGCATTCAATCTTCGAAAATGGTTAAATATCAATCTTCCACGATCATCATTCAAACCTCCATAAGAAACCAAAGTATCCCATGAAATCAACCCACCTTTCAACAATGATCTATAAAATTGATTTTCATTGACTTTGTATTTGACATTTTCAATGATCACAATCCATGAATCATAACACAAGTACACCATCTTTGATCAATCGATAAGATCTTGGGTTTTTCTAGAAAGAGAAAGTGATTTTGAATGGGTTTCTAAAGAGAGAAAGCAAAAATCACTTGAATTCTAGTGAAGAAAACCGAATTATGAATCAAATCAAGGAAAATTTTGATTTCTAAAACATAAAACGTTCTCTAAACATGAAGATCAAAAAACAAATGAAGAATCACGAAATCTAGAATGCCATCATGGATCAATTCTTGATCAAATCAAGAACACCCGCTTTGATACCAATTGTAGTTGTGTTGATTATGATGACATATGCAGAATATGAAAGATCTAGTGAAACATCATACAAATCAAGAACACGTGAAGTAAATAAATATTTTAATCTCTCATTAGTTTTGTTAGAAAGAGTACAAATGAGTTTGTAATGAAAACTCTCTCTAAAACTAATGCTCTCCCAATTTTTTTTTATAATGAGAGTCACTCACTTCCTATTTATAGGAAAAACTCAACTCATTTACACATACAAGAAGGTAAGCCACTAAGCCATAACAATCCACATCCAAACGTGACTTTGCACCCTAATACAAAAGTCGAATAGAAAAATATAATCTAATGCTCAACACGATAATATAACCAACATCAACAACACATTTAAAAATATTTATGAAGTACTAAAGTGAAAATAAAACATATATATATATATATATATATATATATATATATATATATATATATATATAATAGTACAATTAGCATATATAAATATCGTATTATTGTTAATCTTTTTTTAGTGAATCTCATTTGGTGTAGAAAAACTACTTGATTTAATCTTTTTATTAATAATTATATATGTTGCCTATGCTCCACATGGGCCGTGTGCGTCTGATTTGAGTGTCATTTTTGTTTATAGATTAATAAACATCGTTGTTGATTCTTTTAGTTGATTTTAGATTATTTTCATACGGATAAAAAGTCGGAGATGGATAGATAGAGGGCAGGAAAAAAACAAAAAAGTTAAATATGAGGACCAATATAGAAAAAATATACAAAAAGAAAAAATTGACAGACACAGAAAGTGCAATGATGAAAACAGTCAAAAAACGTGAGTTTCACTATTCCTAACTCGTAGTTGACTCTTTTAGCATAAAAATTCGGGCTTTGCCTCGGACCATTTTTTGTGTTTTTTATGAAAAAATGTAACAATTTTGACAGTACGGACGAAAAGTGTCAAAATTGCTAAAGAATTAAATGTTGTTAAAGAATTAAATGGATTGTATTTAGCAAGTTTTTAAGGGACCATAATTTTCAAATTGTGACCAAAATTTAAATATTAAAATGTTCGAAAAAAATATAAAACTTTTGATTGCAAGGACCAAAAGTGTCAAAATGGATAAAGAATAAGGGGCAAAGTAAAAAAAATATGATGTAAAAGTTTTGACTGCAAGGACAAAAAATTCAAAATGGCTAAAGAATTAAAGGGGTTAGAATTAACAAATTTTTAGAAAAAGAACCAAAGTTGTTAATTCCTTAAAGTTTTGTGGCCAAACTTTGATTATTAAAAGGTTCCAAAAAAAATGTAAAAATTTTGATTGCAAGGACCAAAAGTATCAAAATGGCTAAAAAACACCAGACAAAATTGACAAACAAAACATGATGCTTTATTATTTCTAGCTTTGAACATATATATATATATATATATATATATATATATATATATATATATATATATATATATATATATATATATATATATATATATATATATATATATATATAGAGAGAGAGAGAGAGAGAGAGAGAGGAAATGACAAATAGTCCATGTGGTTTTTGCCGCAAAAACATTCTCAGCCACTCATTTATTTTTGCCGCAAAAGCCACTAATTTATTTTTGCCGCAAAAGCCACTAATTTATTTTTGCTGCAAAAGCCGCCATCGTATTAGCGGAAATGAGAAATGAATAAACAAGTGTTTTCCAACAAAACATGTTTCCTTAAACTATGCTAATCATTACATTAATATATACAAAAACATAGTTTTTTTCATTTCTTTTAATTTTTAAGAAGCTATTTTTATCGAAAAACGATTTTAAATATACTAAAACTCATGATTTTTTAATCTCTACAAATAGACGTCCATATTGATATAGTTTTAAGATAAAATAATTTTTTTATTATATTTTCAGCTATCGTTATTCATAAATGAATAAAAATGCATCAGGTTTCATTACAGTACATTCGTTATTAACTTATTAATAAAAAGTAAGATTATTTTTTTTTACAATTTAAATATCATTAATATATGAATATAACATATAATAAACATAGTATATTCATATTTAAATATTACACGATGCATTCTTTTGTGAGTATTAATATAATATATTCACTTATGAATATTAGATAGTATATTAACTTATGAATATTAAATGATATTTTTATATGTAAATATTACATAGTATTACATGGTATATCACATTTGAATATTACATAGTATATTCATTTGTAAATATTAGATGATATATTCACTTATGAATATTACACAATATATTCACATATGAATATTATAAGGTGGTTTCACAAATACTTCCGATTTCGACTTTGAAGCGTGCAATTCCGATTTTGATTTCATTCCAACAAAAATTCTGATTTCAATTTTGAAACCTTGAAATCCCGATCCAGATTTCTTTGTGATACTGATAATCAAGATGCGAACTGTTCTGATTAGAATATATGTTCCAATTTCAAAAGTTTCTAACTTCAGATGCGACATCCTATGTCTGATCAATTTCACATTTTAATTTTGATTTCCGAAAATCTGATTGGGAACTTGTGAGTACCGATTCTGAGTCCTTCAATGTCGACTGTGACTATGAGTCTAGAACTCCGATTCCAAATTCATGAACGACGACCAAATTCCGATTTCAACTGAGTTCGTTTGCGAATCTGGGAAAATTCCAATTTGGAGTATTCAACAAAGAAATTGATGTTACGTATTTGAGATTGAAGTTTATTATCATATTTATAAGTTTGCCATCGTGTATTTTTATGCTTAGATTAAATGAATGACTGATAATAATTTTCCATTTTCTATATATATATATATATATATATATATATATATATATATATATATATATATATATATATATATATATATATATATGGAAAAGTGAATATACCCTTAAGGGTATATAAGCTTAGGTACCCAAACTCACCATACTACCTTGTTTTGTATCATATAATACATTCTAATTGTCCAATGTTCTTATAATTTAACTTATAACTTGATTTACTTCCAATATTTCTATAATTTACACATTTATCTTCCTCTTATATAATTTTCATTTTCAACTACAATATATATAGCCGAGTAGGTGTTTGACAAAAATATGTGATGTAAGATAATGATAATAGTGAAATTTTGAATATATTAAAAGAAAATCAAGTTAGGATTGAAGTTTAACAATATTATAATGAATATATCAAACAAAACGATATATTATGGTGTGTTTGGGTACCTAAGTTTATATACCTTAAGGGTATATTCACTTTTCCTATATATATATATATATATATATATATATATATATATATGAGATAAGGGTATATTCACTTTTCATACATATATATATATATATATATATATATATATATATATATATATATATATATATATATATATATATATATATATATGAGATAAGGCGAAAAGGATGGCTGGCACAAAGGTTTAGGCAACTTGGAGCCT